ACGATGGGGTCTGGAGAAAACTACGTATTGATGAACTTATAAAAATCTGTACTCCTCCCCCAGTATTGTCAGGGTGATTAAGTCGAGAAGAATGAGATGGGCTAGGCATGTAGTGTGCATGGATGGGACAAGAGGTGTACACCGGGTATTGGTTGGGAAGCCTGAGGGGAAGAGACCGCTGGGGTTACCTAGACATAGATGGGAAGATAATCTCAGGTGGGATCTATGGGCAATAGGAGTTGAAGGAGACTGGATTTCTTTGGCGCAGGACAGGGTCTGGTGGAGGGCAATAGTGAATTCGGTGATGAACCTTCGGGTTCTGTAAGCCATCTAGATAGTTAGAAAACCATAGTAGAATTAAAAGTTGTAGTTGTACTGTAGTGTTACTCTGGAGAAACTCATTTCTTCTCACCCCTCTGAGCGGCCAGTTGGAGCCGTGATTGGGATGAATTCCTGTGGTAGGCGCGCCGTTATCAGACACGAATATTACAATCGTTCTGTCCAGCACTTGTTTGTCTTTCAGTGCCTGCATGACCCTGCCCACCGACTCGTCCATCTTCCATATCATAGCTGCAAGGAAATTCTTTCGTTAAATTTCACCCCAATAAACATTTACGTTTTAATTATTGTCGTTTGAGAATTACTCAAAGTGTATCTGGTAGCGATACTAGCAAGTAAAAATAAAATTTACCATAAAAATAATAAATTCTGGAAATTATTGTTATTACAATACAGTTCGAACTGTTATCAAAAACTGTACCTAGTAAGCGCTGATACAAACAATTTTGCCACATGTTTTATGTGGGTGAGAAAATGGTCTCCTGCGTTAAAGCAAGAACTCGCATGACAAATGTTTATATTTATAAATTTGTTATTTGTTAACAACGATGTCAGTAGCTCAGACATGTAACGTCGATGATATGATGATTAAAGAATGAGTGGAGATGACGTGGAAGGAAGTGGTACGTTGCCTAATTAAAGGCACTATCCCGGCATTTGCTTGAAGGGACTGAGGAAGACTACGTAATGCCTTGGTCATGATAATTGGCCTTCGGAATAAGATTTAAACCAGAGATCTCCCGGACACGAAGCAGCAGTGCCAACCACTCGACAAGTGTGTTCAGGGGGACATATATTTACTCCTGAAGATTGAATGAAGCGAGAAATTTAAGATATTAAATAAGCGGAAATTTCATTATTTATGTAGGCCACCTTGTAGTGTATGAAGAGAAATTTCAGGTTCTAACGGCTTCGAAGATGACTTCTGGTTGTTGCACCGTATAGTCTCTTACAAACTGAACGACGTTTCAGAGGTACTTTCTACCTCAGGCACCAGGACGATCGCCCTGATGATGGAGGCAGTATGAACCTGTGAAATGTCTGTCAATAAGGAAAGCATACATGATTTTAGTGGGGAAATTCTTGGAAGGTGATCGCGTGGAATGCCAAAAGGAGATGGGATAATAACGTTAAGATTGATCGGGGGAGTGTGGATACGTGGTGGAGATCACACGTGGCTGAAACTGGTGTTTGGTACTCGTATTAATGCTGTTGAACCTCAGGTTCTGTTATCAGAGTAGTGGAAAATTTTAGGAAGTGTGATATCATTTGAATATGACTGAATATAAACAGTGCAATAGTGTCAACAATTTCGAAGGATGATTTTGTTGTAGATCTCATAATATTCTGTAGGGGTTGCAATGAACCCGTACGACTACATAACCACAGAAACTGCCTCCAGTTTTAAGTTTTATCCGCGGTTCTTGCTGAGATCGAGCTGGGAGGATCGGCGCTGGTTTCTCACCGCGGAAACTCGTGTTCCTTCCCGTTTGCTTTGAAGCGGACGTAATGGCATTGGAACATGTTTTCTCCGTCCTCTACAATTTTTCCTGCTTCTCACCTATTGGCCACGCATAGCAGCAGTATCGCGCGACAAGTTTAAATTGTGGCCAAGAGATGTCGCTCATTGTCAGAATATGTCCGAATCATTACGGCCCAGGTCCCCCGCAGTTCCACCAGCTTGGGACTCGGACCGGTCTAGACCAGGGGTGGCCAACCCGCGGCCCGCGGGCCGCATGTGGCCCGCCTTGAACATTTTTCCGGCCCGCGAGATTCATCACACTTTTACAAAATGTACGCTTAGTATCATTATTATTATATTATCTATGTTTACATGTAAGAATAATAGTAAACACAATAATAATAACTCATTATGTTTCAATTTTTCACTCCAAAAAAATGTCTATAGTGTATCTAAATCTAATATGGGGATATATAATTTTATATGTGGCCCGCGGAGTTATGATGCATTTCCAAAGTGGCCCGAAAGATCATTTGGGTTGGCCACCCCTGGTCTAGACTCTGGGGAGACGAGGTAGTAGAGATGTTAGCGACGTAAAGATAAAAGAATATAGCGTCCAATGAATAATGGATTGGGAAGGATGTGGGAATGAAGCAGTGGTCGTGGGTACTTTAAGGCAGTATTCCAACATTTTCCTGGGGTGACAGGAAAACCACGAAATCTTTATCAGTATACTTATACTTAGGTTTTCGAGGCTGGAGTTCAATGTGTAATTTCAGTATTTGGTTGTCATCAGATGGCGAATGTAATATTTCTCGAAACTTTGGGTAATTCTCAACGTGGCTCACCCCTGAAAGCCGAAGCTACACTTTATCGAGTGTTCGGACCGATATTTGAACCAGGACTGATAATTAATCTATCGCCACTTTCGACTAAGAATAAGCACTGCAAATAGCAGTGTACGAGTTAGGAAATGCGATACCTGCGTATTTTCTCCTGTTTGGGTCC